CTGTCTTGTATATAACTCATGGATTACCGCTATGAAAAAATACGCTACAGATAAAGAATATAGCACTATCTCAAACAATATACAAGTTTTTCACTTGCTTAAAACAAAGCTGCTTAGTCTGAATCTTCTTCAATGTTTTCTTTTTATTTCAGAGGTTGAAGAACTCCGTCCGTGTAATAGTAATCCATGTCAAAACGATGGTACATGCGTGCATTTGAATAATGAGTATCTTTGCTCGTGTCGTGATGGCTACATGGGGCCACAGTGTTCATCTCGTAAGTAATAATTATATCATACTCTTCAGTTTTCATAAACCAGGTGCATTCTTATGAATTGACCAACGGAACATATGTTTAACTAAACATTGGATAATATTTGTTGAGCAATCCAATGTTTGAATTAGTTACATACTCTACAATATTTGTTGGTGTTTGTATGAAATTTATTTTCACTGATTTGTTAGTGAGTTGAATGTAAAATATGCCGGAAAAGAGTATATTCGCTGAATTTTTATTTTCACTGAATGATTCATAAAGTGAAAATAGCAAAAATAAATACCGAGCGAAAATAAAGTGTTTACAGTAACTAGACGTTATGAGCGTTAGCTGTAGTCGATAAGTTGTATGCGGTGGAGTGAAAATCACTAGTCCCTGGGGCTAGTCAATGTGTGTGTCATCATCATACGTGCATTTGTTTACATTTAAGAACCGCATATATCCAAATATACACGTACTATGATACATTGCAAGACAGATATTTTGATCGCAATATATATTACTACCATGACACTGTTTTTTATCACAACATGGTCCCTTTTTATCTTTCAGACATAGATGACACCGGAGAAAAAGATGAACAGACAGATGATAATGATTTTGAATTAGCTATAGAACCCTGGTGGATTGCATTAATAGTTTTGGTTTCACTTCTACTCGTTGTCTTTATTCTTATAGTAATTTTCACAAGGGGCAGAAACAAGAAAAGTGACGATGTGTCATAATGTCGTACGCAGAGGGTTGTAAACTAACTGACTTGATACTGTGTCACCTTTACCTTGAAAAAATAACCTTGAATCAATTTACAAATTGTCCCACTGAATTGTTATCACTGTCCAAAGTGTGTACATTTAATATCGAAGCATTATATGCAGTTGAAATAGTTCGTCTTGATGGAATGACAGCTGTATATTATTATCACAAAGGTTTTAAATAATACAATTTAATTAGAGCCTTATATTGGTATAAATTCTGGATTATTTTTGTTTCTATCTGATAAATAATTTCAATATTGAGTTCTTATTGTTCTGATACATAACAAAGTAACTATATCACGATATATTGTCAACATATTTGTATATATTCTGGGTACTTCCTGACCGCCCCCATATTTTATTAACATTTTTTATGAGTTGATTTGTCATTTATATATTAACAGCTGTTATTTTTTATCTCTTATCTAAACAAAAGCTTATCATGCACGTCCAAACCACAAATTTATCGTAGCTTGCTTCCGTAATAGCCACGAACAATTCAACGAGTGTCTGTCTTTTATATAATCCAAATTACAAGAATAAGTTGCAATGAAATGTGTCTACACCAGTAAATCATCTTCTTTTCGATGATATGTTTAGTATAAAATAATGTTTGAATATACTGGTATTTCACATTTGTTTTGACTTTAGTTAGGATTTGGTAAAATTTCTAGGGCAATTGATGATAACTAAACAATTATATCTATATGGTTTTTAATTGATGTCACTTGGTGTGTGAAACGCATAATTGTATAAATATGAGCGAAATCGATACTGATTACAACTCACTATTTGTACAAATAATATCCTTTAGTAAATCAATTATCATTATCATTACTGGAGATATTATTTCTTTTTTTGTTTGTAATCTTTTTTCGAGGACCTCTGAACAGTTTGATATGAACATTTGTCTTTGTCTTGCGGTACACTCATTTATAGAAATAATTGCTTGTACTTTGTTACTGATCGATTTGACTCGCTTTTAGTTAAATTAATCACAGTTACGAAAAGTTTATACAGCGACAACGATGCAGATCGACAGTTTGATAGTGACGCAGTTTGTATTTTTAATTCAATTAGCCTAAACAAGTGTCTAGACATAACGCGCAATGACACAAACAAAGACAGGGAAAATATGGCCATGTATCGGTGGCATATAGATGGTTGACTTTGAATACTCAAAAAATCACACTCGTCGCCACTAGATTGACGACAGGTGCCTATTGCTACACTTGCTGTCGATCTGAATCGATTTTCACTGCAATTAGTTGCATATTCAAATAAATTGCGTTGATTAAATTTGCTTCTTTAAAATCCTCGAAAGATTACGCAACCATTGAATTTGGGTTGTTTTAAATGTACATATTATACAACTTGTAAAGTTAATGTTTTTAAGCACACTGCGTTGACTTAACGTTGACACAAATTTGTTTAAATTGCCATGTGAAAACGCTGTACGCGATGTTTCAAAATTGGTGGAAATTGTATTTACTCGTATATATAACAAGTAATACGTTATGATACTTCAAACTCAAAGCTTTTGGAATAATGAAACGTTGTTTTTGCCACACAGAAAACGTCAATTTAGAAAATGCCTTATAATCTGATTCAATTAGCTCTTGATGCGGTGCAGAAAGTCCAATCCTCGTTCAATAAACAAATACGAGAGTGACAAAATGCTGGTTTATTTTCGCTTATCTATGCAATATTGTTTTCTGTATAAAAGTCATATGAACAAATATAAGCCGCAAAATAAACTCATTTGAAAGAGTATTGTACACATATTGATGTATCTAGAAATTAGTTTTGTACTTTTAACTGATTTTTAAGCGGATTTTCTAATAAAGTAAACCTTGAGTACACAACTATTTGATAGCATCTTAATACGATGTGCACGCTTGTTCACTTCTGTACTATACTAGTCGGTTGATAGTTGTGTTCAGTAATGGGTCTTTTCAAATAAAATCAACGCGTGTATTTTGCACGTCGGGTTTGTGCGTCGTTTTGGTTTCATGTCGAAGACTTCGTGATGTAACCGCGTACATGTTTATTACTCAGAAGCATACCAGTTTTATACTAAAAGCATGACGTCATCCTATACAATAGCAGAGAGATTTGATTATTTAATTATTACTGTGTTAATGTATGCAATTCATGTTGGGCAGTTTTTATTTAGATTATAATTACACGCATTTGTGATTCAAGATTACCAAACATGTGTATGAATAGTTTCGCTGTGCTTACCAGTTGATCGGCCAAACGTCGGGAAGGTATCTTTATAAACCTTATTCCTCGTGCTTGTTAGTTGGTCAGACTCCATGCGGATTTGTATCACAATAAAGTACTTTTAAGGTAGCGGCGGATACTTTCTGTATTGTACGTGTTGATCCCTCAATTTGAATTGGAGAAATTGATCAAAATTCGCATAATTTGTAACTCTGTACACATTTCTACAGAAATAAATTTAAATTTAATTCTTGTTATTCAAGCCGTCATAGAATTTGGCATTCCGTATTACAAGATTGAATTTTACTTTTATTTTGGCATTATCAGCACGAAAAATGATTTCAAGCGGAGTTATTCATGTTACTGTCGTTTTCGCTTTCTTCTTAAAAACACAAGTTTGATTCTTTTTCTCTAATTTTGATGAATATTTTTGACTTCTTGTTGAAAACCGTCAGTCAGTCAGATTGTTGTGATATTAGTTATGTAAAGTAAGCTTCGTTGGATGTGACCTCAAATATTTCACTATTTAATCCTAACATTTTTTTTAATATTTGACCAATTTTATGATCAATTGCCGACCTTAAAATGTTCGAACAAGAGTAAAGTTCAATTTTGTAACAAACTTAGTATAGCTGTTCCAATTTCGCCATTTTAAAATCAAAATTTGGAGCTGAAAATGCAAAGTCACACAAATCATTCATAGAAAGTACTTACGCATAAAGGACTGCTATTAACAATGCCATCTAAAGCTTATGTTCAGTGTTGGTCGGCCACTATAATATTGTCTGGAGGGGATCTTCTAATTTGCATAATTTGACCAAAATCCTATGTCTTTTGCGGTTTCACCTAAAAATCAAGTCATTATATATTAAACTAATCGTGTCGATGTGTAATGCGCACTAAATAAACACACAAATTACGTCACAGTGAGGTGTACTAATAAGCACATATTGCATGGCCGTGAGGGTACTAGTATACGTCTACCCCCCCCCCCCGAGGAAATATGGGTACTAAACATTATTGGTACCCACTTGGGACAATAAACAAATACAAGTGCCCGAATAAGGACATGCAATGTGTATTTTATAACACACCACTCACTCGTACTATTAGTCAACCCATCACCCTCTCACATTGCAAAGTAATGATGTGAATAACCAAAGAATTGCAATAATACACATTTTATTTAATGACATGTATAAATTGTATATGTTAACAATGATTGTACATTTATTTGAAAACAAAACAAAAACACTTTTTTTTTTAATTTTCCGCAATCCGCATCTAATGTATCATAATTGTACTGCGTCAATCTCTACTACTTTCCGATATTAACTACACAACTATGAAAATAATTATTGCTTGACCACTCAGTTATAGTATATGTCGAGCCTCGAATCCGCTGCGATCTAGGGTAGTAACAGTTGTAGCTCATTTTAACGTAATTTTGTAATTGTCTGTTGTAACTTTTCATATCTTCTCTTCAAGTAATGGATAATCTGAAACAATACGCCAATCACATATCTGACAGGATATTATGAGTTTTTGCTCAATGTGTGAATGAAAAATAGACAAACACTTAATGGTTATTGATTAATGAGCGTAACATTGTTGCAACAATGCTAACCGAATTCATGACTTGTAAAATTTAATCTAAAAATTTATAACAAATTTCACATTTACACATGAATTTGGAGTCTTGCCTTTTTGAGTGTTTTCCTGCCTTGTTCACAGTTCACAAAACGTGAAATAAATTCTATATTCATAGACTCATTGCCATATATCGGCTGTTTGTAGTGAGAGCGAGGGTATGGTGTAAAAAAATATATGCAAATGTGGGTGCAACGATCAGACTGGTATACACTGAAAACGTTGACGTCACTTAGCTCTTACGGGCTTTCAAGGTTACGCGAAAATGTTCTGGGTTGTGAGATAAGCCTAACACGCCAATTAGAGGTGGCTTAGCACTTCCTTCGGGTATATGGACCTCAAACTGATTCATGATATTGCCGATAACCACAAAGCTCTCTATCTGAGCTAGCTTTTCTCCCAAACAAGATCGAGGACCTTTACCAAATGGGGCAAAATTCATCTTGGAATACGGAATCAAGCACCCGCTTTCACAATCAATAAATCGTTCGGGTTTGAATTTGAATGGTTCATCAAAGACATCTGGATCGCATCCTATGGCATAATCGTTGACCATAACCAAGGTATCCATTGGGATGTCGTAGCCTGCTATACTTGTATTCCGAATCGCACGATGGGGGACCGACAACGGGGTAATTGACGGGTAACGTAATGTTTCCCAGATGGCAGCATCTAAGTATGGCATCTTTTCTCTATCGTTATACATCACCATACCGTCTCTGCCAACAACCTTATCTAGCTCGCTGTGTATCTTCGTCTGGATATCTGGATTATGCATCACTTGAATCATAAACCATTTTATTAAAGCGACAACAGTTTCAGAACCTGCAAATGCACAAATAGAAAATATACGAACTAACATAACGGGGATTGATAAAGTTAACTTAATGAACCTTGTTCTAAAGGTCCTTCATTGTCGTCGTATGCTACAGCAGTCTGATTATTTGCAGTATGAACAAGGTATATAAATTTAGCACAGACAAGCTTAGAATCTACCATCTAAAACATCGATTGTCATTCGTCACATTTTTGCTTAAAAAGTGAAATGACGATGTCAACATAGCTAATATCTACGTAATGGAACAAAAGTTATTAACGCCCTCAACATCAAACCACATTGAAATGAACTATGATTAAAAAAAAATCGCACCTACGCATACAAGGTCCATTGTTAACTGTATGATGTGATCTTCACTGTATACGTCTTCAGCTGTCATGTCAGGGTTTGCTTTATTTTCCAGACGTTCTCTTTCTAAAATTATCTGGTCAATCATATTCCGTATTTTTTTCGACTTATCAAAACTTTGAATAATGTATGTCAGCTTCTTCTTCATAAACTGGTACCTTAATTCAGATATCCTTCTTAAGTTGGTCAGCCTGGAATAGACCAAAGGTGACAGCCATCTCGCGAAATCTAAACGACAAAAAAATCTAGTGTAACTTTCGGACATATGGTGATCCCAAGTTCAGTTTTAAATAGAACCAACCTGATGAAATGAATGTTTGTAATAGTTGAGAAAGATGCTCTCAACCGTGGATTGAATTAATGACACTGAGTGTGTTCAAAAAGCTATCAAGACAGTGTACAAGAAACAATAGTTTGCAGATTTGTATCACAATTCACATTTTCCAGTAAACAATTAATGACGGGCGTCCAAGACATCCGCATCTTGCTTTTTTGAGTAGAATATATCGTGACATTGCACAATCATGCGTTTTTGTCCGCAAATGATGTAGAATAACACGACCCATCGTGCGAGAAACAATGGACTACATTAAATATATGTATTTGCATAATTCCCAATTTAATATCTATATATATTTAATACGCACCTGCTGGGTTTCCAGCAATCTCTGTGAACATAGTCTCATTCCATTCCAGGAAACGCTGAAATTCAGGATCATCAAATTGATAGGTTTTAGAAATGATTAGTTTACACAGCGTATTGAAGGACACCATAACTAAGTCAGCGTGGGGGTCGAAGGCTTTGTCGTCTTTCTGTTTAAAACGATCTGAAACAAGATATGGTGATATTGGTGACAAACTTCGCAAGACAAGTTTCGCAGAATATTATCTGTGTGTTGAAAGCATGTTTCAATACCATGAAACTTCATTTTCAAATTCGCTAATACACAATACATCCTGCTTTTTATCCTGATAACAGTGTATAAGTGGCATAAATACATTGTGATTGGACAGGACCTTCTTATTCGATTCAAGTCATTGTTAATGGAGCATAGTGCACTGCCATGGCTTAATTAATTATTTATTTATTTATTTATTTATTTATTCGAGCGTTCGTTAATTAATTAATTCGTGTTATTTATGTATTTATTAATTCCTGTTATTTATTTATTTATTTATTTATTTATTTATTTATTTATTTATTTATTTATTTATTTATTTATTTATTTATTTATTTATTTATTTATTTATTTATTTATTTAATATATTTATTTAATTAATTATTTAATCAGTCAATAAATCAATCATAGTATAAATTGATAACATCTCAAAGAGGTAGATTTTAGGCGATACTGCTGGAGACGTTATTGCTTATAATTATTTATTAATGTTATAATTATATATTAGTAAATAACCTTCACGGGTTAAACCCGACCTCCATGCTTTGGGACATAAACCAATATTGAGAACAAACTAAACTGTATATTCACAACTTTACATTCGAAATCATAACGTCTCAGAGAACACACACTGGGTGTGTTCCAGATTTAAAGGTAGAACTAATTAAACTCTTTCTGCCTCACTGTTTAATCATTGTTTTCATCCGCGGCATTCTAGACACATTACCAATGAACAATAGAATTGAATTGAAATATGGAATTGAAACTATATATCATCAAAAATAAATGTTCCTAATGAATGTTAATTGTCATAGATCAGAATGATATATATATCAATTTGTTTATTAGATTAACACAACGAATCGGACAATCTGGCAATGAAAAGTCGTTTCTTTCTTGTTCCCGTGACAACGGAATCCAAACGTGATTCAAAACCATCCCTCCTGGAAATGGTGAGCGGGCGGGATGGCAGGTGTGCGTACACGTCAAAAAAATATAACCTCTACTAAGCGGTATTTTGCTTACCAAGAAGTTGTGTAATTTCATTCGAGATGATAGTCGTCCACTCTTGCTCTCCGATGACCTTTAACGATTTCGTTGCAATTCTTCTATGTGTTTTCAATTTGTGCGTGTAATCTGCAAATCCGATATCCTTATAGCCATATGTCGCTATGTCCCACGTGATAAAGTCGTTTGGTCTACCAGCAACATCAATGCCAGAATTTTTCTTGGCCAATGTTTCAAGCATTATTTTGTGCGAACTAATGACGACTACCTCTTTGTCGAACAGTTTGACACTGTATACTGGTCCTGTTATAAAATATTCAAATATTTCAGTTAAAAGTGTATTGAGTAATTGCACACTGCGATGTGTTCAATCTGAACGCATAGCTATTGGAACAGCCACTGGCGGCGCTATAGTTTCGAAATCTTTAGTGACTCGCAAAGGCATACTTATAGAATAAGCAGCCAGTTTATTATGGTAGAATGTTTGTACAATCTTCTAATAACCACAGTAGACAGTGTGAAGGTCAATGCCGAAAATAAGTGCTTGAGTTGTTTCATATTAAATGTTTTCTATTAATTATTTCACCCTAAAATAATATTCAAGAGATATGTCTACGCCATAATCCCATTAAAATCATTATAGTATTGTGTACTGTGTATTGTGCACGGTAATGCCATACCCGCTTTAAATTGTGGGCCAATTTCCCCATTGTTGTTAATATTGACAGGTTTTGACTAGGTCTGTGGATTTACATCTACACACACGTCTACGTAGTGAACACCAAACTCACGACCCATCCTTTCATAACTCCCTTCACACTCATCTACATTGACACCTTCCTCAACACCAAAGCACAATTCTTCCTTCCCTTAACAACATTCAACAGGTATTAAATATAAACAATCCAGTGAACTTCACCATTTTATAGTTCTAGATGTATACAGTGCATTGACAAATACTAATACAATGCTTGTTCACACATAATTCGTTTGATTTCTTCAACTAGTCATTCGTTTTATTAGACTACCACCATAGCTGCTTCCCATTGCCACACAGAACCAATGTTACATTCTATTTAGCTCTCTGATTTATTTGTACTTGCACCCAAACGAGTAAGTTATGTATTTACATATTTATGTACTCATAAATCTGTTACATGACGTCGGTGTATTTATATTTAGTTGCTCATACGATTCAAGTACACCAGATAGTATAGTGAAGCCATTAGTGTCAGGAGAGACATGCGCGTTACTCATCAATGTTATTTGTTGGTATTTAAATATAGCAATTTGACTTTGTTTAAAGTCGATGTAAAAGTCAATTTAAAATCCAGCACAATGCCGACACGTGTGTACATTTTGTTTATATCCATATTCTAATTACAGAGTTGAAAATTGGGTTGACTACCTCGGCCATTGTGGCTGAGAATTTCGGGAATGGTCTTGCTACGTAATGCGCAATCTTCGCACAGGTTTCGTAGAAGTCGTAGCAGATCAATATAAACTCCTACTACTTCTCTTCCTTGTGGGAATACCTAGCTCATATTGTAATGATACTCCTGTGACGTGTGTATACTCTGCTCGAAAAAACTTCAATTAACATTCACACTATTGGACCAACTGTGAATTATGTTCCATCCTTAGCAACGAGTGTGAAACGTACAGTTCGATTCGCGTACGAGTTTGATTGACGTACGATTGGTACTCCCATTGAAATACCTATAAGAGTCAAGTCAGAGATTATACTAAATACGTTCACAGTGCGCATGACAGTTCTTTGACGCGTCTGCGAATGCACGGGAGAAGGTCAAAGGGCAATGAATATAAAAAAAACATCGTCAACGTATTATTCAAATGTATTTTTAGTTTTTTATCACTGATTGATGATAATTTGAGACTATTTTTTTTACATACGATTCGCGTTTTTTAAAACATATTTATGCTTTTCTTGTGTGTTTCTATGGCGATTTTATACTTGTTCGAGCCCACGTGACTTTCAATGTGAGTGAGACTCATGATAACCATGATTTTCTCCGAAAGAAAATTGGATGAAACCTACCTATCTTCCTACACAAAAATTGCTATTCTTCTTTTTTCTCGGCCATTGCATCGTCACTACACCTTTGCAGATTGTATATACAGTAAAAAAGACGTATATTCAAGTGCGCCCTCTCTGGCAATACTTTTCAAACGCGCGTGGTCGGCATTTTTATTTTAGAAATGTATCACTGGCTGCGTTTCTTTTGTCATGTCTCGAAACTGAAAGTCCAAGCTGACTTTGTTTTGGCTGTAAGAACCTCAGTTTGTTTAAGCATATTAGTAAGAACCTCAGTTAGCTTATGCAAATTCATCGTCCGAATCGCACGGTCCCATGTCTTCGACCTATAGGCCTCTACCACAGTCACTTGGGGGCTGAAAATCAATAAATACTAATTTTCAAAAAAAAAAATCATCCGCTATACGTATATAAATAAACAAGTTGTGAAACACGGCACCTAGTAAATCGACACCCTGTCGGTTTCAAATGTCGATTTCTTACCTTAAAATGCGAAACAAAAAGTGCAGCGGAGGTCAGGTGTTAGGTTAATAACCATTGTTCATAATCGCTAACTTGGTTTTATTCAAAACGGCACAAATCGCGAGT